TCCATCACAGTTCAGCTTCACCCAATCCCACTCAGGTGGCTTCCATACCGGTTTCAGAGTTGGCTCCGAAATCTGATCAGTGCGCCCAACAGTTGACCACTCATCAGCATAGGATTTGATCAAGGCTGCTAAATGTGCACTATCACGCCTCTTCTCATCACAACTCGGAAGGCCCTCAAATCCTGTTTCTTCCGAAAGATAGAACTGAGGGGCATTTGTGCTTTTTTTTATATGAAAAGGCAACGCGTATTGTTGCTCGTTCCGGGTCGTAGGAGGTTCAAACCGTTTAGAACCCATTGGTCTGAATTAGTTTACAACAAAATTATCAGGCCTACTCCAAACCAGTCGAAACCACTGTTCAAGGGGTTACAACCAATCAAAGCTATCACAAAAGCAAAAACCATTGCGTTTAAACCATTTCAAGCCAAGCCCATAAATGCGTTCAACATGGATTGGATTTGAACCGATGCCGGGAGCCCACCCCAAGATCTCGTTTGATAGTTGTAGCTCTAATATCCATGAGTTTTTTGGAGTTAGATATTTTGCAACTCTAAAAATTCTTAGATCTAGAGCTACGAATACAATGCAAGTATTTAGATGATTCATTTTGTTTATATAGTTTGGACTACATATAAATATTTAAACCTCTTTAAAGCTTGCTTGGATGTACTCCAATCCCTCCTAACCCATGTGGATTAAGATGGATTGAAATGCATCCAAATAAGCCCTAAAAATAATTTGTAAACTATAGATCTAACATGGATGTCGGAGAGTATTGATTTATGTATTGATTTACAGGTCAAGTGAGAACACAGATATCATACTAAATTCAGAAAGTAATTATCCTATAGATGGTTAAGGGTATCTGCAACAGGATTATCGACATCGTCAGCACCCGTGGAAGACAGAAGAACAAAAAGATTGGATGACAGATTATTTCAGAGTAGGGAAGGATGTGCATAGAGAGGGTCAGCCCCATGGCCACTCTTGGTACGTGTGAGGTCACCGCTTGTAGGCGCGCTAGCGAGCTGTTTTTTTCCGTTCTCTCATCTTCACATCAGCAATATTCTAATATGAGCTAGTGAAATCCTTAACCATTGGTTAAGGACGCACTAAAGCTGTGTGTCTATGCCAAATAAATGGGCTCCGAATATGCTATCATGCCCCCTGTCACCTCCCAGGTCCCAATAAAAATCTTTCCAAGCAGCCGGCTTTATTTATTTATCTATATACAAGGGAATGAAGCCGGAGCAGTCCTTTTTATAAAGCAATGGCCGAGCAATAACGCTCTGAACTTAAGAAGACACTGACATGTGACATGCAAAAACTATAGCAGCCAGCAGGGTATGATGTTTTTATCTTGCATGAGTGATTGATACTGGTACCAAATCAAAGGCTTATTTCAACCTTTCATGAATCCGCTGTGTTGCAAAAACTAATACTAAGTCTCTGTCATTTTCATTAAACATCAACGTGATGCAATTGGTATCATATCCGTCGATTTCAGGTACACTTGACTAATATTGTTGTCTTATTTAATCCTTGATTGGGTCTAGCTAGTTTGCCTCTAGAAATAATATTTCGTTTTCCTGAAGAAATAATTCATTTGCCTTTTGAAACAAATTAATGTGCAACTAGTGTATGACTGTATGTGAACGTCCATGCATTCATATGGCTAAGTTGTGCATGCGTGAGTTTATTGCCCTGTTCGTTTGGCTGATAAGACATGGCTGAAAGTACTGTTGACTGATTTGTTGTAAGAGAAAAATATTATTCGTTGGCTAAAAAAGTACGGCTTATAAGCCAAGCGAACATGACGTATAAAGGTGGGTGTGATTACGTTGGAGTGTGTGCACATTATCGTGTATAAGAAAAATAATCTACTCCCTTCGTTCTAAATTATAAGATAACTTGACATTGCGTGCGTTCTGAACGTTTACGTTGTACTGTATAATTCTAAAAAAAAGATATACATTTATATGTAGATACATAGCAAAATCAATATATCTAAAAAAAAACTAAAATATCTTATAGTTTGAGGTGTACAGCTATATATATTTTCCTTCCGTGTGTACAGACCTTTAATTCCATATGTGGGAGATATATTCGGGTATGTTACTTATCTCTTCCTCAATATATAGTTCAAAGTCGATAAAGCGGATAGTGCATCGGAACGTGCTCCATGGCCGCAGAATCATGGCTCCGTGGGCACGGTACAAAAAATCGACGGTGCAGTTTAATCTAGCAATCGTAGTCCCTTATATGGTTGGAAGAATCACAAACACCATGAATCGTTTAGCTGGATTCTCCACTTCTTTCGACCGCCGCCACGAGAAACGCGGTCCCAAACATGGTCATCATCAGAACTCAATGCACTAGGGTTGCTTAAGCTCTGGGAAAATTGGTTATAGAATTGCACAATTTTAACTGCCAGCTTGCATTTCCTGTTGATTTCTTAGTTGATCTCTCCAACAGGAAGATATCTCATTCGGAGATGTTTGAAAATATTTCGTACTTTGAGCAGGAAGTTCCTCCGTGCAGTAATGCATCGCAATCTTTGAATATACATAGGCGAAGTTCTGATCCATTTGATTAAAAAATGGGGCCGTGACCGTGAGCAGGTCTATAATTTGTTTACCTTGTGGAAGTGGGGTCTTGGACTGAAGGAAAAATGTCATATATTTTCTAATAAAAAGATATCTCCCAATCGTACTGGAAATAGATGTTGTTTTTACAATTTTTAATGTCGGGGTAGTATATATGCCAAGGAGCCTCCTTGCTCAGTAAAAGAAGTTTCAAAGACAACCAGAGGACACATAGTGAAGTCGTAGCAACATCTATTCCTGGTATTGATTTTAAGCCTGCAATATGACACATGCTCAAGAAATTCAGCTTCAAGTTACAGGTACTTTCTCTTAACAGAATACTCTCTTAGCTTCCTGCTTCTTTTTTTCCTCTTCCTGCTTTCGTTATGCTTGAATGATTTAAGTGGATCTTAACGAGCACAAAGCATAGTACTGTTTCGTTTCCATGGCCTTTGATTGTTTCCGATCTCAAAATTTTTGTCACCTTTAGGAGAGAGAGGAAACACTGGTTCGATCCTCTTTCTTCTTTCTTTGTGTTCTTGATGCGTCTTCTAAAATTAATGGCCAAATGTCCAGGTTGTCTTGTGCTTGTGATGCTTAATTGTGTTGCCGTCCTGAGCCGGCAAATTTGTTAGAAAACCAACGTATTAACATTAGGGTTGTCTCCCACTGTAATCTCAGCCGTTTTAACTCATAGCACCTGGCCAACAAAAATGTTTCTTCTCAAGAATAGTTTTTCAAGGAGAAATGTATAGGTTTAGAAATTAAGGTTTCTATGGTCCGTGGAAAGATACCGGGACTTATCAAATTTATAACTTAATTTGGTACCACACAGATGGTATCACAACTTCTTACCCCCTCCATTTCAAAATAATTGTGACTCTAGTTTTATCAATAAGCCAAACATTTTTATGTTTGACCAAATGTTTCTATAAATTTGTACAGTTAATTTAATAGCATGTGTAATATATTATGGAAGTATCTCCCATAATAAATCTAAAAATGTAAATATTATGTCAAACTATATCAAATATAAGAACTGATGGCCAAAGATATAAATATTTAACATAGGATGGTTGGAAACACTTTTTTTAAATGGAGGGAGTACCAAAGGTGCTTCCCGACGTGGACAACAAAATGTTTGTGTCTGGCTGACATGGATATTACTGTTACATGTGCTAGAGGATTTTAGTTATATGTGATAGTGCATTGCCTAGTTGATAACTTGCATGTTAAGATAAATAGCTAGTGGGGTTTTGTTGATTGTGCTAGAGGATTTTAGTTGTATGTGATAGCGCATTGCCTAGTTGAACAACTTGCATGTTGAGATAAATAGCCAGTGGAGTTTTGCTTAGTGGATTTTAATTGTATGTGATAGTGTATTGTTTAATTGGACAATTTGCACGTTGAGATAAATAGCTAGTGGGGTTTTGCTTTATAAAAGTATCTTGATTAACGAAAACTCTTAATTTGATGCCTTTCCAAGGATAGTAAAAGGACCTCTTAGAAATTAAAGAGGGATGTGAGTGTAGTTAGGGGTGTGATTTTGTATCCTAGATCCAACAATTCAGGATATGTTACTTAAATATTTGCAAATTCTAAGTTTCTTTATTAATATTAGACAAAACATCTGGTTAATATAAGTAGCTTTCAAACCAAAAGAGAAAAAATAACCATTAAATAAATAAACAGATGCACAATTTGAAATTTAGCTGGGTGAAAGCAAACAAGCAAAAGGCAACTCTTGGCAATTGCCTTCCAAATATGCGCAGTGGCTAGCTGATTCAACGAAACAAAAAATGCCTTTCAAACAAACTAGTTTTGTTTTTGTGAAATTCAAACAAACTAGTTCTGCGTGACTAATTGTCTTCATTTGTGTTAGGAAAAAAGAATGATTTTTTTAGGTAATAATGGCGCCGTTCGGTTCGCTGAAAAAACAAGCCGCAACACTATTCCGATTGATTTGTTGTGAGAGAAAAATACTGTTCCGACTGAAAAAAAACAAGTTGAAAAAGACGGATTATAAGAGAAGCGAACATGTCTAATAAACCTTATTAATTGTACCTATAATTTTTTCTTTTTCTGTACTACTGATTAGACCAGTCTCAGTGGGGGTTTCATATCCAGTTTCTAACATATCCATATCGTGGAAACAGTGCAGAAAAGTTTCATCCCCACGAAACCGTCTCTACTCTCACAAAACTCTTATCATCTCTCTTCATTAATACGGTGTCACATCAACATATTTAATGTCCATAAAACTCTGATAAAATCCCACTTAAACTGGCCTTACTATACCATTTACTAGACTACTGTGTCAACTTTTCTTCCAGAACAGGAATCCGGCAATGGTGAACAGGAGAGCCGTGATGAACCTAAAGCCACCAAACGACGGCTGACGAGAGGAGGCGTCCGATGGTGGATGACGGTGGTGGTCGACATGCTGATGGTGCTCTGCGGAGGGACGGTCGGCACCCTCCTGGGCCGCCTGTACTACAATTCTGGCGGCAAGAGCAAGTGGGTGGCCAGCTCATGCAGTCGGGCGGCTCACCGCTTCTGCCCATCCCGCTACTCCTGACTCCCCCGCCCCCGGCGGAGCAGCGCCAGCCGGCGGCGTCCAAGGTGGCGACCGTCTACGTGGGCATCGGGGTGCTGCTCGGTTTCGACAGCCTGATGTACGCGTACGCGCTGCTGTACCTGCCGGTGTCCACCTTCTCGCTCGTGGCCGCCACGCAGCTGGCCTTCAACGCCATCACGTCGCGCCTCATCAACGCGCAGCGCTTCACGGCGCTCATCGCCAACTCCGTCGTCGTGCTCACCTTCGCCGCCGCGCTGCTCGGCATCGGCTCCTCCTCCGACGAGACCTCCAGCGACGTGCCGCGCGGCAAGTACGCGCTCGGGTTCGTGCTCACGCTGGCCGCGTCCGCTTCCTTCGCCGTCATCCTGTCGCTCTTCGAGGTGGCGTTCGAGAAGGTGATCAGGGCGCGGACGATGCGGTGGGTGCTCAAGGTGCAGATGTTCACCAACCTCGTGGCGACGGCGGTCGGGGTGGTGGGCCTGTTCGCGTCCGGGGAGTGGTGGACACTCCCGGGGGAGATGGTGGCGTTCAAGAACGGGAGGGCGAGGTACGTCCTGACGCTGGTGGGCACGGCGGTGTGCTGGCAGGCGACGGCTGTGGGCACGGTGCGCCTGATAGCGAGGTTGTCGTCGCTGTTCACCCGTTGGATATATTATGGGCTTAACCCGTATAATATTTAATAAATCAAATAAAACTCTATAATATATAACATTAAGTATTGTATGGTTTAATACCATATGAGATTTTGACTGAACGTTGACTCAGCTTATATGGTTGGAAATTTTTCATCTTAATTGAGAAGTTGAGAAAAGGACATAGGCGTGCCACACGCGCGTGCATCGTCGCCGCCGTCCGGGCCGAGGGTGTGGCAAGGTAGGCGGGCGGACGTGGCCAGTCTTTTACTACTTAATCCACATAATTACGAGGGTTTTCTCTCCTTTATGATGGAGGCGAGGTGATTGCGCCGTTTCCGTTTTCCCGTCTCTTCGTGCCTCCGTCTCCTAGATTCCTCCGCTGACTCTCTTTCTCCCCGTCGTAGGCATAAAACAGAACTTCCTCCGTCAGTCCTTCTTCCTTTCGCAACCGCTCCCTAGAGAAACCACATCTCAGCAGCCCTCTGGCTTCCCCGTCCCGTACCTCTGCGCTCACATAGTAGTGGGAGAGCAAGTGTCTCCGGAACCCTCGTCCGCCTGAGAACCTTACACGGGGTGAGCGGCGATTAGATTTTTAGAGAGCGGTCCGCGACTGCTCGTCCACGTATGTCTTCTTCCTAGTGGTGATCGCTCTTGGAACCCGTCTTCTTCCCGGTGATTGCTTGTGGAACAGCAAGACGTCTTCTTTCTGGTAATCGTTCGTGGGATTGCACTGCGAACATCTTCCTGCATCGACTACGGTCCATGACTTCGAGCAACACACTATGTCAACTAGTGCGAATGGAGCCTCCGATGCCCTCGACATGGGACCCTCCGCTGAGTACATTCTTATTTCTGTAATTACCGCACTTTACGTTCTTACTGTATCGATCTGTATATCATGTCTGCATGCTGTAGCATTCATTAAAGATATACACATGCACATATATGCCATCACGAACTAACTGATGTTATATTTCTGGATTAAATTAACCACGAAAATGCCTAAATTTCTAACAATATAAAAACCTAATGTTAGGTAATTTTCTGTCAGTGGTTTTGCTGCTGCTTTGAAGTCAAATAATTTTGATGGCAAGAATTTCATAATATGGCGTGCCAAGATGGTATTGTGGTTGACTGCGATGAACTGCTATCACATCGCGCAGGGGAAGCCTGAATAGTTTACTCCTGAGGAGGAGTAAAAGTTCTTGGCTGCCGATAACCTGTTTCGAGACGCCATGATTAGTGCATTTCATCTTAATTATGAGAAAAACTACATATCTTGCACATCAGGCAAAGAGTTATGGGATGCTCTTGAGGTAAAGTTTAGAGTTTTTGATGCTGATAATGAGCTGTACCTTATGGAGCAGCTGTATGACTACAAAATGGTTGAAAACCGTTCTGTAATCGAACAGACTCATGAGATACAGGCGTTAGCAAAGGAACTAGAACATTTCCCATGTTTGTTGCCCGACAAGTTTGTGGTCGATGGTATAATCGCTAAGCTGCCACCTTTTTGGAGGGATTTTGCTACTTCTCTAAAACACAAGAGACAAGAGTTTAGCGTGGCTGAACTTATTGGATCTCTTGATGTTGAGAAGAGGGCAAGAGCAAAGGACTACCGTGGAAAAGGAGTTGAGTCTTCCGCTGCCAATATAATGCAGAAGAAAAACTCATTTGTATCTTGTAATAAAAAGAAGAAGAACATGCAAGAGAACAACAATGCAAAGCCTAAGCAGACTGCTCAGTTTAAGAAGAAAAATAACAAGAAATGTGGAGGTTGCTTTGTTTGTGGGAGTGATGAACATTGGGCAAGTGCGTTCCCAGACTGCAAATATAAGCAAAAAAAAAGAAATCAGCAAACGTGGTGATTAGCGAGACTGGAGGGGGAACATCTGGGTATGGTAATTCTTTACCTTTTGTTCTTTTAGTTTGTTTTTCACCTGAGTGGTAGATGGACATCGGTGCTAATATTTATGTGTGTGCTGACGTTTCTTTGTTTACTTCCTATCAGACCGGCAAGACTGGAGCCTTGCTGATGGGAAACGGTTCGCATGCGCGTGTTCTTGGTGCTGGTACGGTCATTCTGAAGTTTACTTCAGGAAAGACGGTGCTTTATTAAAGAACGTGCAGCATATCCCCTCCATCAAGAAGAATCTTGTTAGCGATTCAAAAATATGTCGCGATGGTTTTAAAATTGTGCTTGAGTCCAATAAATGTGTGGTGTCGAGACATGGAACATTTGTTGGAAAAGGTTATGATTGCGGAGGCTCATTCCGCTTATCTTTGCTTGATGATGTGTGTAATAAAGTAGTGAACGATGTTAATGTTTCGGATGAGTCGAATATATGGCCTTCACGACTTTGTCACATTAATTTTGGCTATCTCACGCGGCTTGCAAATCTGAATTTAATCCTGAAATTTAACTTAGTCAAAGATTCTAAGTGCCAGATGTGTGTGCAATCGAAGCAACCACGCAAGCCTCACAAGGCTGCTGAGGCGAGGAACTTGGCACCATTAGAACTCGTTCATTCTGATTTATGCGAAATGAATGGCGAATTGACTAAAGACGGTAGACGATACTTCATGATATTTATAGATGATTGTAATAGATTTTGCTATATTTTTTTATTGAAAACTAAAGATGAAGCGTTGCATTATTTTAAAGTCTATAAAGCTGAGGTAGAAAATCAACTTGAGAAGAAAATCAAGCGTTTGTGGTCCGATCACGGCGGAGAATATTTCTAAAATAAATTTTCTGAGTTTTACGCGGTGCATGGAATTATTCATGAGAGGACGCCACCATACTCACCACAGTCCAATGGGATTACAGAGAGAAAGAACCATACTCTAACTGATTTGGTTAATGTCATGTTAGAGACTGCGGAACTATCTAAAGAATGGTACGGTGAGGCTATATTAACAGCATGTCATGTCCTAAATAGAGTGCTCACAAAGAACTAAGAAATTACACCATTAGAGGAATAGGAGAAGAAGAGATTAAATCTCTCTTACCTGCGAACTTGGGGTTATTTGGCAAAGGTGAATGTGCCAATAAACAAAAAACAAAAGCTTGGACCAAAGACTATTGATTGTGTTTTTCTTGGTTATGCTATTCACATCGTGGGTTATAGATTTTTAATTATAAATTCTAGTGTTACTGAGATGGCTGTTGATACAATCATAGAATCTAGAGACGCTACATTTTTTGAGAACGAGTTTCCCATAAAAAATGCACCTAGCACGACTGGTCATGAATTTATAATTTTCCATGAGCATGAAAATTGTACTCCGATAGAATAAACTAAGGAACCCTATATGCAAAATCCTGAGGAGGATGACACTATAGTTACTAGAAAAAGTAAGAGACAGAGGACTGCAAAGTCTTTTGGTGATGACTATATTGTGTACCTTATGGATGACACACCAACGACCATTGAAGAGGCATATTTCTCTCCTGATGCTGACTTATGGAAGGAAGCAGTACGGAGTGAGATGGATTCTGTTATGTCTAATGGAACTTGGGAAATAGTTGATCGTCACTAGGGGTGCAAGCCTATAGGGTGTAAATGGATGTTCAAGAAAAAGCTTAGGCCTGATGGTACTATCGAGAGGTATAAGGCAAGGCTTGTGGCCAAGGGTTATACTCAAAAGGAGATGAGAATTTCTTTGATACTTATTCACCGGTTGCCCGATTGACCACAATTCGAGTTTTGCTTTCCCTAGCAACCTCTTATGGTCTCATCGTTTATCAAATAGACGTTAAGACAACTTTCCTAGATGGAGAGTTAGAGGAGATCTATATGGATTAGCCGGATGGGTTTGTAGCAAATGGTCAAGAAGGCAAGGTGTGTAAATTATTAAAGTCATTATATGGCCTAAAACAAGCTCCTAAATAGTGGCATAAGAAGTTCGATAGAACTCTAACATCTGCTGGCTTTGTTATGAATGAAGCTGATAAATGTGTGTACTATCGGTATGGTGGGGGTGAAGGAGTTATTCTGTGCTTATATGTTGATGACATACTGATCTTTGGATCCAGCCTCAAAGTGATTGAGGAGGTGAAGTAATTTTTATCTAATAATTTTGAGATGAAAGATTTGGGAGAGGCTGATGTTATTCTTAATATCAAGCTTCTGAGAGAAGGTGATGGTGGGGTAACTCTGTTACAATCCCACTATGTGGAAAAGGTGCTGAGTCGCTTTGGGTTTAGTGACTGTGCTATTGAGGAAAATCGGAGAATAGCAAGGGATCAGTTGAGATATTCCCAGATCATTGATTCGCTCATGTATCTTGCTAGTGCAACAAGGCCTGACATCTTATTTGCTGTGTGCAAGCTGAGCCGGTTTGTGTTAAACCTAGGAGATGATCACTAGCGTGCTCTTGGGAGAGTGATGCGCTATCTAAAGGGCGCTATGAGCTATGGTATTCATTATACTGGACACCCAAAGGTGTTGGAAGGCTATTGTGATGCCAATTGGATCTCTGATGCTGATGAGCTTTATGCCACAAGTGGATATGTGTTTTCGCTTGGACGTGGTGCTGTTTCCTGAAAGTCTTGCAAGCAGACTATCTTAACAAAGTCTACAATGGAAGCAGAACTCACAGCATTAGACACCGCTGGCTCTGAGGCCGAGTGGCTTCGTGATCTCCTTATGGATTTAGCGGTTGTTGAAAAACCCATACCGGCTATTTCTATGAACTATGATAACCAGACTGTGATTACGAAGGTTAACAGTTCTAAGGATAACATGAAGTCCACAAGGCATGTTAAGAGACAACTAAAATCTGTCAGAAAACTGAGAAACTCTGGAGTAATAGCGTTGGACTATGTTCACACGTCTAACAATCTGGCAGATCAATTCACTAAGGGTCTGTCACGCAATGTGATAGAAAGTGCATCGAGAGAGATGGGTTTGAGACCCACTTGAAATTTACTATAGTGGTAACCTGTTCTATGTGATCGGAGATCCTGTAAAGTAGGATGGTGAAACAAGCTAGTAGTAAATTATGAGGAAAGATCCTTAGTAAGACTCATTTCTGATGCATATTTTTCCTTTTCTGTAAGGCAGGTTGGTTTTTACCTTAATGTGTTCCAAGTGGCTTGCTAAAGTAAAGATGTTGTCCTATAGAACATCTTGTGAGGAGCACACCTATATGAGTCAGACTGCTGGTTACAGTCTATGAGATTTGGGTGATCTCTAAATACTCATGAAAGGCACTAGAGTATGACTTATATGCTTCAAATAGAGGGGATGCCTTTTACAGCCAAGTATTAGCTAAGGACTTTAGTAACATTCACCTCACACAAAACTGTCAATTCAAGGCTTAGTCCATTGTTCAGTTGTGACTGAGTGAAACTATTGCTCTAGATGGATGTTCAACTTAACAGTCTCCATCGAAACACTGGTATATAAAAGAAATGTGGTTCTGAGACTACTTTGTTACAAACCCTAGAGTTTGGTAGGGATTGTTGGATATATTATGGGCTTGGCCCGTATAATATTTAATAAATCAAATAAAACTCTATGGTACGTAACATTAAGCGTTGTATGGTTTAATACCATACGGGATTTTGACTAAACATTGACTCAGCTTATATGGTTGGAAATTTTCCATCATAGTTGAGAAGCTGAGAAAAGGACATAGGCGTGCCACACGCGCGTGCCGCCGCCGCCGGCCGGGCCGAGGTCGAGGGCGAGGGCGAGGGCGTGGCGAGGCAGGCAGGTGGGCAGGTGGGCGTGGCCAGTCTTTTGCCACTTAATCCACATAATTACAGGAGTTTTGTCTCCTTTATGGTGGAGGCGAGGTGATTGCGCTGTTTCTGTTTCCCCGTCTCTTCGTGTCTCCGTCTCCTGGATTCCTCCACTGGCTCTCTTTCTCCCCGTCGTAGGCATAAAATAGAACGTCCTCTGTCAGTCCTTCTTCCTTCCACAACCGCTCCCGAGAGAAACCACATCTCAGTAGCCCTCTGGCTTCCCCGTCCCATATTTCTGCGCGCACGGAGTAGCGGGAGAGCAGGTGCCTCCAGAACCCTCATCCGCCTAAGAACCTTGCACGGGGTGAGCGGCGATTAGGTTTTTGGGGAGCGATCCACGACTGCTCGTCCATGTACGTCTTCTTACTGGTGATGATCGCTCTCGGAACCCATCTTCTTCCCGGTGATTGCTTGCGGAATAGCAAGGCGTCTTCTTCCTGGTGACCGTTCGTGGGACTGCACTGCGAACATCTTCCTACATCGACTACGGTCCATGACTTCGAGCAACGCACTATGTCAACTAGCGCGAATGGAGCCTCCGATGCCCTCGGCATGGGACCCTCCGCTGGGTACATTCTTATCTCTGTAATTACCGCACTTTGCGTTCTTACTGTATCGATCTGTATGTCATGTCTGCATGCTGTAGCGTTCATTAGAGATATACACATGCACATATATGCCGTCACGAACCTGCTGATGTTATATTTCTAGATTAAATTAACCATGAAAATGCCTAAATTTCTAACATCACCAATGTGACGGGCACGGTGGCGCTGCCGCTGGTGCCTATGTTCGCGGTGGCGCTATTTGGGGACAGGATGATGGGCATCAAGGCCGTGGCGATGCTCATGGCCATTTGGGGCTTCCTCTCGTACGTGTACCAGCACTACCTCGACGGTCGGCGTGCCGCCTCTGGGAAGGGGACCGAGTGCTGCGTCGTCTGTGCCGCACGGACGGCAGGCGACACGACTTAGCCGGTGAGAGTTGTAATGTATAATTCGCATTATTTCCCTTCAGAAATGCTATTTCATTTCGACCATTATCGTCACCCTACAAACTTGAGTTTCGGCCATAGTAGTGGACGTGGATAACGTTCGGCCCCAGGTCCGCGTCCGGATGCAGCTCCCGTGCCCTTGTACCTGCATCCCATCCCACTTGCTCCATCCCATTTCTAACCAACGCAACATAAAAAATCGTGGCCCACGCCCATTCCACACCCTGCATGGTAGAACCATGCCCCACACCCATCTAGCGTCTACACGCGGTGGAACCATGCCCCGCGCCCGCCTGGCGGACCCAGGACCTACGCCCACCTACCCCACCTGCAGACCGCGCTACGGAGGTGTTTGCAAGCCTCAGGCGCCGGCACATGAACCACGACGACGCATCAGCAGCAATAGGCGGACGGCGGCATGCAACATCCGATCTACCTTTGAAACATTCAGATGAAACATTTGCAACATGAATCTAAAAATAGATAAAACACTTAAAACATACGTGCGTAGCTATTGCAACATGTGTAACACCAAGATCTACTGTTGAAACATTTAGATGAAATATTTACAACATAAGTCTGAAACAGATGAAACACTTGAAATACGCGCTTGAAACATGCGTGTGTAGCTATTGCAACACGTGCAACACCAAGATCTACTTTTGAAACATCCAGATTAAACATTTGAAACAAACGTCTAAAACACTTGTGTGTAGCCATTGCAACACGTTGTAGGGTCGAGATGGCGGACTAGAGGGGGGATGAATAGTCGTTTCTAAAAATTAATTGGGTCGGCTAACCGTAACAAATACGGAATTAAAACTATCGGTCTAGCCAAGACTACACCCCTCTATCTAAGTTATCAAGCACCTTACAAAGATCCTAATTAAGCAACTAAGGTGCCGGTCTAGCTAGAGCTCTGTAAGGAAAATGGACCCTTGAACCATTTACTTTGGATTTTGGCGTTTGATGACCAACACAACCAAATTAGACTAATGAATTTGCAAGTGTTTGTTTTGTAGTCCAATAGGGTGCAAGACGTGACTTGGACGAAGGCGACGTGATGATCCGATGATCAACACCTCAAGCAAGACATTAGAAGCACAAGAAAAGACCCAAGATGTCAAGCAAAGTCCAAGCATGAAGATAGGAACCAAGCCGTGCGCAAGATCGCAAAAAAACGAAGCTCGCCTGAGCGCGATCGACGATTGGACCGGAGACGCCTGGAAGCCTTGACCGACGCCGGACCGGTGGCTCGGTAGACAATGACGGGCGCAAGGACCGGACGCTGGCGGCGGCAACCGAACCGACGCAGAAACGCAGCGTCCGATCGAAATCTGAAGAGAGGTTCAGTAGCTGAAGCTGCGACCGGACGCGTCCGATGTGAATCGACGAACAACGGCGGCGTCCGATCGGTGGTTCAGCAGCTAACAGTCGGGAGACGACCGGACGCGTCGTCGGCCGGATTTATTCAGCGTCCGGTCGATGGCGTAATGCGGGAGTTCGACCCCAACGGCTACTTTCTCGATGGGGCTTATAAATACAACCCCAACCCGCCATTTGAGCGAGTGGGCCGAGGAAACATATCAAGAGTGTTGATACACCATTTGAGTGATCTCCACATGCATAGTGCTTAGTGTTTTATTAGGTGATTAGCATAAGTGCTTTGCGAAGTGCTTAGGTTGATTAGACCATCGCTTATGCGCTTGCTCTAGGTGTTTGCCTAGTGTTTAAGTGAGGTTTGCATACCTCTTGCCACCCCGTGCTTGTGAGCACAAGTGTTGTACATCGGAGGGGCTTGAAGTCTTGCGAGATCACACCAACCGCGTTTGTGGTGTGGCCACCACCGTGTACCGGAGGGAACAAGGCCCGCGGCGTTTGGCCTGAAAGCTTGATAGTGAAGGCGGCGGGAGCATCCGGGAGAGGCTTGCCGGAAGGCACATCGGAGACCCACTTGCACGTGGGGAAGGCCCGAGGCTATCCACGGAGTTACCCGACCGGGAGCTTGGCCCTTGCGAGGATTCCTTGCGAGGGCTCCAACGAGGACTAGGGGAAGCTTGCGCTTCTTCTCGATACCTCGGTAAAAACACCGGAGTCGTCGACGGGAGTTTGCATATCTCTACCTTGCTCTTTAAGCTTCCGCATTTACATTGATCATATTATTATCATTTGCGGTAGAGATAGCAACACACTAGCAAAACCGTAGTTGCACATCTAGATAGATTATCTTTTGCATAGGTTTTGCTAGAAGTAGAAAAAGAGGCCATAGTTTAGAGTTAGTTTTTAAGTTGCCTAATTCACCCCCCCCTCTTAGGCGTCCACGTGTCCTTCAATTGGTATCAGAGCCGGTTGGCTCATATTTGGACCTTTGGCTTAACCGCCGTTGAGCCGACGCTTGTAGAGTGGTTGGGATGGATACCGCTAGGCCTCCACGATTTGACGGCTCTAACTTCCCATACTATAAAGCTAGAATGGCTTGCCACCTTGAGGCGGTTGATTTGGGTGTATGGAGAGTCACTCGTGACGGGATGAAACCCATCAAGAATCCCGAAAAACCCACAAAGAGTGATGAAAAAGAAATGCATTTTAATGCTAGAGCTAAGAATTGCTTGTTTGAATCATTTAGCATGGATGTTTTTAACCAAGTGTTCACCTTAAATACGGCACATGAAATTTGGTTAAAACTTCAAGAGCTCCATGACGGTACAAGTAATGTCCGTGAGCAAAAACATTGTCTAGCTAAGCAAAATTATGATTCCTTTGCTATGAATGATGATGAGCTTGTTCGTGATATGTATTCTCGATTGAATCTAATTATCAATGAGCTCCATTCAATAGGATTATTAAAGCTAGATGATCACGGACATCGTGAGGAAGATCATCTCCGTTCTACCACAAAAGAAATATGCAAGCATCATCACCATCCTTCACAACATGGAGAACTTGAGCACCATGACCCCGGGCATTGTCATTGGCAAGCTAGTGGCATTTGAAATGTCACGTAGGATGGGTCAAGGAGAAGCATCTTCATCAAGCAAAGGCAAAGCTCTCGCTTGTAGCGAAAAGAAAAAGATGAAGGGCAAGAAAGTTGAGTCAAGCTCAAGCTCAAGCTCCTCAAGTGAAGAAGAAGAAGATGAGGATGATGATGATGATGAACAAGAATCAAGTGATGATGATCAATCTTCCTCCTCCACCTCCGACCTTGATGAAGAATCAATCAAATTAATCAACAAGGTGGAGAAGATGATCCAAAGGCTCAATGTCAAGGGTGTGCCCATCCAAATTCAAGATCTCATTTTCACCAATCAAAGAAATGAGCAAAGAAAGAGAGGATGCTACGGATGCGGCGAGATGGGGCACGTTGTGGAAGTTTGTCCAAACAAGCCCACACCCAAGACAAAGAAGAAGGCGTGCAAAAACAAAGCCCTCACAACAATAAGGTCATGGGATGATTCTTCAAGTGAAGAAGAAAACCATCACAAAAGCGAGGTCATAAGCACTCATCATCAAGCTCTTCTCGTGTGTGCCTTATGGCACGAGGTAACAAAAGCTCATCCTCTAGTGAGAGTGATAGTGATGATGACTTGCCTTCTTACAATACAATTGTGCAACAAAATCTTAAATATGCTAAAGTTTGCACTAGTCAACAAAAGAAGCTCAAAACTTTAAAAGAAGAGCTAGGTAGTTCACAAGAAGCATACAAGAATTTGCTTGAACAATATGAAAACTTTGCAAATCTCAATGTTGAACTATCTACTAAAATTGAGCAACTTGAGGCTAGTGCAACAACAAGTGCATGCACAATTAATGATAAGCAACTTGAAAAGAAAAATGAAAAATTAAAAGAAAAGTTAGCTAGCTCACAAAATGATTATCAAAGTTTGCTTGCTAAAATGGAAATCATGTGCAAACATTGTGATGAGCTAACAAATCAAGTTGCTAATCTTAAGGCCGTAAAAATACCCCCACCAAGGCATCTAAAAGAAATGACATAATTAAAAAGGATGCATCTACCTCTTGCAATGATTTATGTTTAGACTCACCTTTGTGCAACCAAGTTTGTGTTAAGAAAGTGATTGTAGATACATGCACACAAGAGGTTGCAAAAGAGAATGAGCAACTCAAGCAAGAAGTAGCTCGCCTCACCAAGGACTTGACTCAAATGAAAGGCAAGGCAAAAGCAAACCCAACTTCATCAAGATAACACCGTCAAGGGAGTGAAGAAGCTTGATGAAGGACAAATCGTGGGTTTGCTACGTGTGCCACAAAGAAGGCCACAAGTCCTATGAGTGCAAGGTGAAGAATGGGGAGGAGCAAAAGAAGAAGGAGAAAAGCAAACAAGCAAGCTCTCCAACACCTACACCAACAAGGTGGACAAGAAGGCCTCCACACCTTATCTCTTGAAGAAGAAGAAAAATGACAAGGTGGTGGCCATCAAGGTGAACAAGCAAGCAAACAAAGGGGTCAAACGCTTTTGGGTGCCAAAGGAAATCATTTCAAACATGAAGAGCACCAAGAAGGTTTGGATCCCGAAAGGGAAGTGAGAAGTCCGTCGGACAGCCGGGAATTTGGAGACTTGGCAAAGTATGGGTGCATTTCATGGGGTGCATCATGATGGACAAAATCATTGCCAAGTGGGTTAGTGAATACTATGGACCCAAATTCCCCTTCCCATGTTAGGTAACTAGATGTTATTGCTTTTAAATTGGTACATCTTGCAATTAGTTTTTCCTACAATTGATATCTTTAAGCATCTAGTTACTTTTCATGCCTAGGGTTGCATTTGCATGCTTATATCTTTTGTCATGCATAGACTAGGTATTTCATATGGTAGGCTTGCTCGGTCTCATTTGTAACCCTTGGAGCAAACCTACATGGTTTAAAATTGCTTAGGAGCATGGCACATAGCTTGTCTTACTATTGTTTATCTAATATGTGCCAAAGTCCAAATTGTAGATAATTTTCTCCCAAATATCATCT